CCTTCCCGTTGTTTTACGGGCCCAGGGCTTCCGCTTGGCAGGATGAAAAATTCTGGAGTCCGCTGCGCAACACTGTGAATGTGTCAGCACTACTGAGCTGCACACTTACTGGGTAAGATAAATTTTATGTTTAAGTCACAATTTAAAAATTATTTTTAAAAGATACATCACGACGCACCTATTAGAATGGTCGACATCCGGGACACCGACACGCCCCCTGCCCGGGGCGGAGCGGCAGGGACGCGCGGGCGCAGCCACCTCGGGCGGCGCGGCGGTTCCCCAGCGTTTCACCCTGTGACCGCCGTCACGCTCCTCGGTGCTANGACACGCCCCCTGCCCGGGGCGGAGCGGCAGGGACGCGCGGGCGCAGCCACCTCGGGCGGCGCGGCGGTTCCCCAGCGTTTCACCCTGTGAGCCGCCGTCACGCTCCTCGGTGCTGACCCCAAGGAGTTGAAACTTACGTCCAAGCAAAGACACGGAAGTTTATAGCGGCTTTATTTGTACTTTCCAAAAGTTGGAAGCAACCAAGGTGTCTTTATTTTAAAAATATATCTGTATTGATCTCAGAGAAAGGGAGAGGGAGAGAGAAACATCAATGAAGGAGTCATTGATCGGCTGCCTCCTGCACGCCCCCCACCCCCATGAGCCCGCAGCCTGGGCATGTGCCCTGCCCGGGAATTGAACCACGACCTCCCGGATCCTAAGTCGATGCTCAACCGCTGAGCTACTGCCCGTTGTCCTTTACTGAGTGAGTGGCTACGCTGTGGTACCTTCAGACGATGGAATATCATCCGGTTCGAAAAAGAAATGAGCTATCGGCCCTGGCTGGGTAGCTCAGTTTAGCGCGTCAGTTGCGGGTTTGATCCCATGAGGGCTCATACAAGAATCAACCAATGAATGTACATGAATAAGTGGAACAAATCCATGCTTCTCTCTAAAATCAATAAAATAAAATGAGCTATCAAGCCATGAAGACATAAGAGGCAACAAATGCAAATTACTCAGTGAAAGAAACCAATCTGAAAAGGCCACATACTATGATTCCAACTATATGACATTCCGGAAAATGCAACACTATGGAAACAGTGAAAGACACCAGTGGTTGTAGGGTTAGGGGGAGAAAGGTATAAACAGCAGCAGCACAGAGAAAAATGTTTCCACTGACTGCAGAGAGAGGGAGAGGGAGATAGAAGCATCAGTGATGAGAGTCATTGGCTGGCTGCCTCCTGCACGGCCCCTACCAGGGATCAAGCTCTATACCTGGGCATGTGCCCTGGCCCGGAACCAACTGTGACCTCCTGGTTCATGGGCTGACTTTCAACCACTGAGCCACACTGGCTGGGCCGCAGAGGATTTTTAGAGCAGCGAAAACTCCTCTGTATACTGACAGACCCATGTCGTATGTGTCCAAACCCACAGAGTGAACTCTCAGCTATGGGACTCGGGTCACTAGCTGTAACACGCGCACCACTGTGCTGGGGACTTGGTCGTGGGCAGTTCTGCGTGGCGGGCCGGGGGCGTATCAGAACTTTCTGTACCTTTTGCTCAATACTGCGCTGAACCTAAAACTGCTCTAAAAAGTGTATTAAATTAAATGCATAGAACTCAAAAGTGGCGAAGCAACCAGGGCCTTCTGAGCTACTCGGCTGCCCGTCGGGCCTGGACGCGGCGAGCAGCTGAGGCCGCCCGTGGAAGCGGGAAAGCTGGGGTCGGGAAGTGTGGGGCAGGGCCACTCCCGCTAACAGGCACTTCAGGAGCCGCTTGAGGAAAAACCAAGGACAAGCACAAGTGCCTCCCTCAAGCATCATCAGCAAGTCAAAGGGGGGCAGGAGCATAAAAGGCAAAATGATGAAGAATCATTTGCTGTCAGGAAAATATTTTCCCCAAGATGCAGATCTTTCAAGTTCTGTGGTTTAGCCCGTGACACCCGACGCCCACCAAGGTCACCCGAGCTGTGTTATCACCACGTCCAGGCCCGAGGGGCAGCCGAGTAGCTCAGAAGGCCCTGGTTGCTCCGCCGGTCCACGGCCCCCACAGACACCCGCCCACACCTCCGTCGGGCGCAGCAGAATGAGAAACGGGCCGCACTGCTTGATGCAGCCATTAAAACGAAATTAATCTGCCATTTCTGCAGCCCCAAATTGATGAGCACACAAGAACTCATTTATAATTGCTTATTTCTACTTCACAATATCCCTTCCAGTATTTCTGTTCTCTAAAAAAGTCCATTAACATTGCATTATTTTTTTATAACCTTTAAAATTGATGTTGATTGGAAATATGTTCTCCCATCAGCTTAAGTAAATCTGACCGTCCCCCACCGGCTGAGCCCCACCCTCCCGGGCCCAGCGGCAGAGAAGGCCTTTCTGCTCGCAGCGGCCGAGGGGCCTGCGAGGCTGGGACTGGCTGGACCAGACGGCGGCCTCCTCCGCAGAACCAAAGCCACCTTTGCGGGCTGGAATGGGGGGAGAAAGAGACGCATTTGCTTTATATTAAATAAAAAAGGAAACAAGGTTAAAATGAAGTTTATTATTTTTTTGAATTTTTTTTTTAAATAAAACTGTTTGTGAAACAGCTATTTTATCCCCACGGCAGAGTGACCCCTGAAAGATGCACTAACCCCTTCTTAAGGCCTTAACAAGAATTTTTTTTGTACTTTTTTCTTTTTTTTAAAACTCAGATATTTAAAAATTATACACTTTACAAAACAAAACAACACAACATAAAGACTCACGTAGCGTGGGGCTGCTCAACTGACAGGCCCCCTTTCCTTTATAAAAATGAAGCAAAAAGAAAACGGGCTAAGCAGGTGGCCTGGTCAGCTCGCCCCCACTGCGCAGAGCCCCGCCCGGGCCAGTGCCTCCGCCCAGATGTCCTGTCCTATCCTGTCCCCCTGGCGCGGCACCGTGGCCTGCAATGGCCCTGCCTGCCGTGCACTCCTGAGGCCTCAGGTTCTCACCGCCAGTGACCCAGCACACAGCTGTGACCTCAGGGCATCTGCCAATTTCACCCCCCAAAAAAGATAAAAAAATTTAAAATAATAAATAAATAGTGTTTCTGGAAATGAAAAAATTTATTTTTGTTTAAACATCATTCTTCACTCTGAAAACATGGACCTCCCCACTTCCCTCCCCCAACCTTCCCACTTTGAGAGAAATTATGGACAAAGGACGGTTTGGTGTGGCCCGGCCGCTTCAGCCGGGCCTAGCGATCTGGGAACAGGGAGGCAGGCTGGCCGCGGAGCCACACCGGTCCTTCATGAGATGAGTTTGCTGAGTTCAAATTCACATTTAAATTTCACTGTTACTGGAACCAATTTGGAGTTCTTTAACTAGATAATTTTAAAATAGAATCAAAAGGGACAGCGCACCTTTCATTTAAACAAAGTCTTTCCAGACTAAAAATAGATTTTTATATATATATTTTTATCCCTCCCTTTTAATTCCCCCCTCCCTTTCCCATCACCCGAT